ATTGTTGTTTACGTCTAAGCATTGAAAACCCAAACAGATCCAACCATCCAAACTAAAAGTCACCCGGTTTAACCCAATTTTCAACCAGTTCAATCGGTTCAAAACCACCTCCCCATACCTGTTTTAAGGGCTCAGCAGACCTGATCACTAGGTATTTCCAGGTCTGCACAATCTGAGGAATCAGTCCAGTTTAAAACACCATAAAATTTATCCAGTTTGCCATGGCATTTCTAGAGATATTAAGGTTTAACACGAAGGCAATGGCAGAAAGCAATAAAGATCAAGCTTGGCCTAGGAAGTGCAGCATTATCAATGACCATAATGACAAAAATAATTAATACAAAAGACTATCACAAAAAAGAATGAAATAAAGAGAAAGCATGATGAGGAGGTAACACATATGTGTCAATGTAGGAGAAATGGCCTTCTTCAGGTTGAGTTATTGCATGTTTTGGGTTAAAAATCAAGACCACTGTTACAATACTAGCCAGTTGGATCTGGATTAATAATGCAAAAACGCATCTGCTTTTCTTTTTAGGGGAAAAAAAGAGACTGCTAGATTGCAATTGATTGCATGGAAATAGTCAAATAGAAAAACAAAAAAGGAACCTCCATCAAAATTAAAATACTTTCAAAATGGCAATGTGAAATAACAGATCTCAAAATGGCAATGAGAAGTAATCTCACCATAGCAACGTGAAATAACTGAATTCTTTTTTACCGTTTCTTCTGGTTATGAATAAAGGAAGACATTGCATCAACAAGCTCTCCTAGATTGTGTGGAGGGATATTTGTGGCCATGCACACCTGAAAGCATAAAGAATGGAAACAATCGCATGAAAAAGGTAAACGTAAACTGGTATAGAAATGCATAGTAGATAAAATAATTTAACTATTTTCTATGTCGGACCGATTACCTCAATTCCAGAGGCATCATTCAGGACCAGATTTGGGATTCTAGCAGGGGGTAGAGATGGCTCTTTTTGTGATTTGTCAAAATTTGGGACAAAATTAACCTGTAAATCATCATACCATAAGTGACTAACTCAGAAGTAAGAAACTTATAATTAACATGTAATGTAGATGACATACTGCATTTTGATCTATGTCTGAGAGCGGCATTGCCTCTGTAAGTGCCTGAAAATGACACCATTTATTAGCATCGTCAGCAACGAAAACCATGGGTTTACAGTTTACCAACCAGTAAACATGCCCTTTTGAAATGAATGCGTTGTTTGATTTAATAAGGATATCAGAATAAGAATATAAAACTTACAAAAGATAATGAGTATTGGCAAAAGTGGCTTTATCCATCAGCATAAAGCATAAATGGGCATTAACATTAATTTTAACAAAATATTACATGTGTTTTTGTTTCATTCCCCTCCCTCTCTTCAGGAAGCAGCCATTGTGATACCAAGACGAAGCATGTCTCGTACAGAGCTCAGGAATCCAAAAGTTATTATGTGTTGGGAAAAATATTATAGATTTTGATGATGATGTATTTAGAATGTAATAGGGACTTTAGGTCTCCCCCAATATTCAATGTAATTTTTTTTAGAAATATTGTTAAAACCGAGTTCTTGAGATTTCCAATAAAGTTGTGATATTGAGTGTTAATCTAGAGTTCTTGTGAACTTTAGATTGTGTGCGGAATTTGGTGGGTAGAGTGAGCAGTAATCAATATGGATGAGTTAGTTTTCACAGTTATTATAATTGCAAATAAGAATAAAGATAAAGGAGAGAGACACGCAAACTTTAACGAGGTTCGAAGGTGGGGTAATCCTTCTACGTCCTCAAAATCCACTATGTAGTTGGTTGTTGAATAATGAACCAACAATTACACTTGTGTGAATTTCTGCACGGTATATCTTCGCAAGGCCAATGTTGCTACTGCACTCGTGCTGGCTTTGTTGTTCCTTCGAAGGTCACGCTTCTTCAACAACTGCAAGGTCCGAACAATAGGACTTGCAAGATCAACTTGTAAGAAAGTTGACCTACCCCCTTTTAATCAAGAATTTTGATCAAAAGTTGTATCCTTCAACGTGGTGTGTTACTTGAGGCAAGGAAACCTTCAAGTGTTTACACTATAGCTCTTTGGAAGGAGGAGAAGTTTGCTTCTGGATAAGGAGTTTAGAAATCTCTCTTTATCAAGCTCTTTGGGCTAACTGTGAATGAGATAGCTTTGTTGTTAGAGATTGCTCCATTGTGTTGTTCTATCTCATCGTATCTTCTCCAGTCTTCCAAGGATGCTATTTATAGCTAGATTGGATAATCTATCCGTTGAATCATAATAGACTATCCGTTGCATTTGCTGACTTCAATTTTGAATGAAGATTGAGATTTGAAGATTCCTCGTTGGAATGGGTGTTTGGACATACCCAATTGTTTGAGGAGGGATTCCTTTTTACACAGAATCCGTTTTCTAGCTGTTGTTCAAGAATTCTGGACTGTAGCACTTTACTCTGTTTGTCTTCTAGTGCTTGTTTAGGAGTTCTGGACAGGCTCTTCAATTTTAGAGGTCCAGACTTTGTCTTCGAGTCATTTGTTCTTGAATCAGCATAATTATCTTCAATCTAGCCGCTGAAAATCAGGAGATTGATTTTTCCTTACCAACGAGTAGAATTTCTTCATTCAAGACTTAGATAATTTTCTAAGTCTTTTCTCACTTGTCCGCTTTTGAGAGTTCCGGTCTTTCTTGAGGCATCCGGTTCTTGGCTGACAAATCCGGAAGAGTCATTCTCAGTCTTCCAGGTGAGAAAGAAATCCGCGCTAGTCTTCTGACTTGGATGACTTAGCCTTCAGCGGGTTGTAGCGAGACATCCGGTTGTCATGTAGTCTTCCGGATTGGAGGATTTTCATCCGCTTTGAGAAATCCTTGTCTCTGACATTTCCGATCAAGGTATCCAATTTCCAAATCACTGAATTTGATTAAGTCTTTCGGGCATCAAACCGCTTAAAGAAATATCACAACTTTATTGGAAATCTCAAGAACTCGGTTTTAACAATATTTCTAAAAAGAAAAATTACATTGAATATTGGGGGAGACCTAAAGTCCCTATTACATTCTAAATACATCATCATCAAAATCTATAATATTTTTCCCAACAATTTCCCCCTTTTTTGATGATGACAAACAAGTGTTTAAGAGTTCCGGTCGCTGTACTGAGAACTAATTTTATAACTTTCTTTTAGTTTCTCATAATATACAGCTTGTTAACAAAAACTCTTAAACAAATACAATTCAAATTACAATAATTCCTAAACCAAGTCTTGTCTTGAGATTTGTGATATTTTCCGCCATTGACCGTTTTCAGCTTCAGCAGAACTTGCTTGGCAGAGCGGATGGCGTTGTGTTTGATAGATCTTTAATATCCAAAGTGGATATTCAAGATCTTGGAAGCAACACATCTCTCAAAAAGTAAAAACAAGAACAAAAAGCAAAAAAAAAAAAGAAAAAGGAAAAAGGTAAAAAGACAAGAAAGAAAAAGTTTTGGAAAAGAGAATTGATTGCGAAAAAGATAAAATAAGGGTTTTTAAAGATGAAGGGAATAAAAAGGAATATTTAAAAGAAATTTTTGAAAAAGAGTTTTAAAATAAATGTTTGAAAAAGTAATTTAAAAAAAAAATGTTTGAGAAAAGGAAGCAGAGTCTGCACAAAAAATTTTGAAAAATGCTTGGTTGAAGGGTGCAGAGACTCCATAAAAGAAAGATAGGAAAAGAGTTTTTAAAGAAAATTAGAAGAAACGAAGATGGAGAGAGTGTTGTTTCCAGAGAAAGTGTATGGTGTAATCCTGAAAAATACGAGAATTGCACCACATACTTTCTCTACTGCCGAGAATTGCACCATATACTTTAAATTTCTTTTCTTCGCACTAGGCTTTTCTCCATTGCCGTCTATGAGGGTGAGAAAGAAAAATTTCTCCATTGAGGATATTTTTCTTGGTGTTTTTCTGAGACAGTGACTTGAAGACTTTTCATGTTGAAAGAGTTGTTTGTGATAGGAATGGATTGGGATGCCTTGATTTAAATAGGAGAGGAGGTAGATAGAGGGGAGGTTCACGGGTTCCATTAAGTGAGTAGTTGGAACGGTGAGAGTTAAAGAGTTTCAACTTCCAAGAAGTTGAATTCTGAAAAGTTGAAGGAATCTTTTACCGATTACCAAAGAATTGAAACTGTTCCAATTAGAAAATCAGTTTCATTTGGTTTGAGAAAAGTAACTGTTTTAGTTTGGCTAAGCCCAAAAGAGTGGCCCAAAAAAAAATCTTATGCACTAAAAGGAAATTATTCCTATTGGGTTCTCAAGGCTCAAAATAAAACTATCATTTTTCATTCCCTATAGTTCTAATTTTTAATTAGGACGAGGTAGTACCAAAAGGAGTATGAAATTTATTTTTAAAAGAAAAGTGGTACTATTTTTCCAAAGTCCTGTACAAAAAAAATCCTAAGGACCAGTACTTTTAGAGCTAGTTGGAAAATGAATTAAGGATTAAAGCTTAGTTTTAAGAAGGCAGATTTTGTATAGTACCTGAATCGGAGATTTCCAACTTTAGTACTAAAACTGAGATACTCGTCTTCCAATGCTTAGAGCTCATCAATAATTCATTGCCAAAAACAATTGTTAGCAAAAAAACAGTTAAGTTCCCCCTGAATTACATCCCCCCTGAATGTATGCGCTCAGGAATAAATCTCAAAATCATACTTGAAATAGGCATAATCAAGCATAATAAGCACAATTTAGAGAAGTATTGAAGCAATGTTTAAACCAATCAAGCAATGTTTAAACAAGAAGGTGTTTTCATCAAAGCAAATTAGTGTTTTCACATACTTTCCCCCTGGTTTGATGAAAAAAGCTTTTAGTGCTTCTTGCGCTTTGAAGATCCGGCAATCTCACTGATGCCTTGCATGTTTCCACATAGTTCTTTGATGCGCCTTATGTTATTGCGTCTCCTCCGTTTGGTTATCATTGGAGAAGTGGGCAGCAATTGTTCTTACAGCCTCTGTAAGAGACTTCTCCTTCTTTGACTGCAATAGGGAGCTCTGGAATCAAGGATGGACTGTATTGTTGAAGAGTCACTTCCATCTTGTGGTTTCCAGAATTTGTATTAAGAAGGCTGAACAGTTTGAACGCTTCCTTCTGATTGTCAATGATCACCTTCAAGTAGTCTTTGGTTACTACCTGATTTGCTGAAGACACTGCCAGAGCTGATCTGATGTCCATTTGGAGAAGAGACATTTGCTTCTGTAGGCTGACAGTGACATTTGCTATTTGCTCTTTGATTTTGTTAACCTCCTTGAGTTGAAGATAATTGTCAGATGCATATGTCTCCATCGTGTTGCTCACAGTGTTACTCAATAGAGAGATGATCTCTAGAGTCTTTTTTACTGATTTGCTTATTTCCTTGAGTTCTGAGCTGTGTTTCTCTTCAGATTTCTCTATCAGCTTAGTGTACCTGGCTTCCATCTGCTCTATCTCTTGCCTAAAGGAGGCATGTTGAGATGCTAGGGCTGATTCAATCAACCCTTGGACCTTCTTTGTCCAGATTTCTGGTACCTCATCCGGAAAAGTAGGAATGGAAGAGCTATGGAAATGGAAGTTGGTTACCTGATGAGAAGAGGGTGTTCTTTGAAAGAGTTGCATAGGAAGAGATTCAGCATCTTCTTGCACATCTTCTTCATCAGCAATCCTTAGTGTCGTCTCAAACTCTCCTTCTGCTTCATCAAGCACAAAATTTGATATATATCCAGAGAGGGAGTCTCTTTCTTCAGCTTCATTCTGTTCTTCAAAAATGGCTACTGGAGTTTTAGAGGCCTCCAGTTCTGCCATTTGAGTTTCCTTCTCAGCTTCTGCAAAACTCCTCTAGGTTTCTACAGCTTGCTCCTCTTGAGCTTTAGTTGTTTCTGGAAAAGTGGACTGCTCCAGAATTTCTCCTGACTTCTCCGGGATCTCAAGTTCAGGCTGGTTGGAGATCTCACAAGCAGTTGTGAGGATCTCAAGGACTTGAGACTGGAGATGTTGCTGAAGTTCTTCATCTGGTGCTTCCTGGTTCTGTTTTTGTGGAGTAGAGACTCCAGCTTCAGGCAGAACCGTTTCAAAGGCAGATGAGGTTTCTGGAAATATTTGGAAATTCTCAGCTGTTGTTTCCAAGTCAGCTTGTGCTTCAGAAGTGAGAACCACCTGATCTTCTGTGGCTTTTGAGAAGACTGGCCTGTAGACTGCAGGATCCTCATCATCCACTTCAAATTCTGAAACTGGTGTGGTGGCCAGGTGTTCCAAATGTAAGTCTTCATAGTTCCTTTGCCATACCCAAGCATCATCCAAGATTTGTTCACAGCTGTGGTTGACTGGCAGTCCTAAGCACTTCTTGATGATCTTCTCATTCTTTAGTTGTTGGTCCCAACCCAACAACTGCTCTGCTGAATTTCCAACCTTCCAAGCTCTCCAGTCATAGTAGAGTTGCCAGAATTGGTTATCAGCATCATCTGTTTGGGGTTTAGGTGAGCGGGTTTGAACACTATGGACTTGATGAGCTTCTTCTTCCAGTTGTTGAGGACTTTGGTTGTGGGCAGAGGTTTCCTCAGCAGGTTCCTTCTCCTTCAACTCATCCAGGTTGACATTTCCAGATGTTGAGGGAGAGGTGATTTTCCTCTTCTTCTTTTGAAGTTCTCCTTGGTCAGAGACTTCTTCTTCTTCTTCAAGATTTACTAGAACAAGGTTCTGTGGTGCTTCTACACTGAGAGAGGGAGACACCACTTGCTTTCTTTTGGCAGTTTTCGTCAAATTGATGAGTGGGACATTGTCTGAAGAACTTTCCTCAGCAGTAGCACTAGCACCAGTTCTGTTTTCCCTTTTGAAGACAGGTAGTATAGCCAATATCTGGCTCCATACTTCTTCCCTTTAGATGTAGCACCCATAGACTCCAAAATATGTCCAATGTACAGACCTTGACAAAGATATTTCTGGTTGGGCTTTCCCAGATGCTTTGAGATGGAATTGAAGAAATGTGCAGCCTAGTTTACCTTTGATTTGGTAATGAGAGCGTTGATGATGAAGGCTCTCTCCTGGGTGATCTCATCAGCATGTCCTCCACTTCCACACTCAAGGCATGCGATGACCAGTTCCAGAACGAGTTTGTAGTCGTTGTTCAGGTCTGCTTTCTTCGCTGGGCGAGAAGGAATTTGCCCAGAAATTCCAATAATATTCCAGTCCAGATTTTTGACTTGAAATCTCCCAATTTTAGCTCCAAAGTTGGGAAGGTGAAGCTTTTCTCCCAATTTCCTCTGCGAAAGCTTCACTTTCGTACCTCCAACAGTGGACTTGATGACTGGAAACGTCCTCTGTGGGTCCTTCTTTGAATGAGCAGTCTTGACCTCTCCATTTTTGTAGAATTCAAGAACTTCTTCTTCATATTTGAGGTGGATTTCCATATGAAGAAATTCGGAGAGTTCTTGAGCGGCTATCATCTCCAAATAGCTTTGATAGAACGCCGGTGAAGAGCATTTGGCTTCCAATTTCTGGAAATGGACATTAGCGTCAACAATCTTCATTCTCTCAGAAATTTGAGTGAGAAAATCTGAAGAATCTGAAGAAATTTTAGGGTTCTTAAGAGAATTCAGAATTCTCGCGAAGAAGACGATGAAAAAATTTGAGTGGGCGGTTGAGATCTGAATAGTGGTGATTGGGTTTGATTTGGGTGGCTTATGCGGCTGGTGGCGATTGAGTTTTTGACTATTCCCAAGGCCACGTGCCTACCCAATATTTTGACAGACGTGGAAAGTAGTCCGCCACGTGTACCGCACTCAGTCTAATTGAATTAGACCAATTTTGTGAAGCAAATCGGAAAACTTGGCTTCACTTAGTGGTTTTGTGAAGATATCCGCCAGTTGTTCTTCAGTTGAGATATACTCAATTTTGATATGTTTCTTTTCCACATGATCTCTGATGAAGTGATGCTTAACATCTATGTGCTTAGTGCGAGAATGATGCACTAGGTTTTGAGAGATGACTATAGCACTTTGATTGTCACAAAAGATTGTCACTTCCTTTGTCTTGACTCCATAGTCCAGTAGTTGTTGCTTTAGCCACAAAATCTGAGCACAACAACTACCAGCAGCAATGTACTCTACTTCTGCTGTTGATGTAGAAATGGAGTTTTGTTTCTTACTAAACCAAGAAACAAGATTTCCACCAATGAATTGACAAGTACCAGATGTACTTTTCCGGTCAACTTTGCATCCGGCAAAGTCAGAATCTGAGTATCCCACTAACTCAAATGAATTTCTCTTAGCATACCACAAACCCATGTTCTGAGTTCCTTTGAGGTATCTAAGAATTCTTTTAGCTGCTATCAGATGACTTTCCTTTGGCTTTGACTGGAATCTGGCACAAACTCCTACTGCATATGAGATATCCGGACGACTTGCAGTAAGGTAGAGTAGAGATCCAACAATTCCTCCGTAGAGAGTTTGATCAACATCCTTTCCATCTACATCCATATCAAGCTTGGTGGATGTACTCATGGGGACAGAAACGGATGACTTCTGATCAACTTTGAATTTCTTGATAAGATCCCTTGTGTACTTGGCTTGGTTGATGAGAGTCCCTTCACTTCTCTGTTTGATTTGAAGACCAAGGAAGTAATTGAGTTCCCCCATCATGCTCATCTCAAATTTTTCTTGCATGAGGGTTGAGAACTTGGTGCAGAGATCTTTTTTTAGTTGAGCCAAATATGATGTCGTCCACATAGATTTGGACTAATAGGAGATCTTCTCCATCTTGTAGTTTGAACAATGTTTTGTCAATGACTCCTTTGGTAAATCCATTATCTATAAGGAATTGAGACAATGTATCATACCAAGCTCTTGGAGCTTGTTTGAGTGCATATAGCGCCTTTTTGAGTCTATACATTTGATCGCCTTTAGTGTGTAACTCAAATCCTGGAGGTTGTTCCACATAAACTTCTTCCTCTAGGTTTCCGTTGAGAAATGCGCTTTTGACATCCATTTGATAGACTTTGAAGTCCTTATGAGCAGCAAAGGCTAGAAACAGCCTTATAGCTTCAAGTCTAGCAATTGGAGCGAAGGTTTCATCAAAATCTATACCTTCTTCTTGACAATATCCTTTGGCAACCAACCGGGCTTTGTTTCTGACAACAACGCCGTTTTCATCCATCTTGTTCCGGAAGACCCACTTTGTCTCAATGACATATTGATGAGTAGGTCTGGGAACAAGTTTCCAGACGTCATTTTTGGAAAATTGGTTGAGTTCTTCTTGCATTGCATTGATCCAATCAGAATCAGCTAGAGCTTCTTCAATATTCTTTGGTTCCACTTGTGAGATGAAACAAGCAAGCATAGCTTCTAGATTCTGTTGGGCACTCCTTGTGCGAACGCCAGATTGAATATCTCCAATGATCTGTTGAGAAGGATGATCCCTTAACCAATGAAGATTGTGTTGATTGGGATTGACTGGTTGATCTAGTTCAGCTTCTGGTTGAAGAACAGAAGTTGTTGGTGTTTCCGGATGGATTGGCACTGGGTCGCCATTTCCGAAATTGTCGCCGTTTGAGTGATCCGGAATATTGGAAGGCTGGCCAAGATTTCCGGAAGGCTCAGCACTGTCTGAATCCGGATTTCTCTGTGAAGTCTTCAGTGGTAGACTTCTGAATGGAGTGAACTCCATGGGCTTCATTCTATCTCCTTCATTAACTTCTTCATCCTTGTCTGATAGATCCAGAACCTCATGATCATGCTTTGATGGCTTGTCAACCACATGTTTTTCATCAAAAATAACATGTATTGACTCTTCATTGATCATGGTTCTTTTGTTGAAAACTCTGAATGCCTTGCTCACCATGGAATATCCTAGGAAGATGGGCTCATCTGATTTCTCATCAAAGGTGTTCAGATGATTCTTCCCATTGTTTAACACAAAGAACTTGCTCCCAAAAATATGGAAATATGATATATTAGGCTTTCTCCCGTTCCATAGTTCATAGGGAGTTTTGTTGTGCCTTTTATAAATCATACTCCTATTCTGAGTATAGCAAGCCGTGTTAACAGCTTCAGCCCAGAACCTCTTTGGTAAGGAAGCTTCTGCTAGCATGGTTCTCACTGCTTCCTTCAAGGTTCTGTTTCTTCTTTCAGCTACACCATTCTGTTGAGGCGTCCTTGCTGCGGATGTCTGATGAAGAATTCCGTTTTCTTCACAGTAGTGAATGATGATTTCATTCAGGAATTCTGTGCCTTTGTCAGATCTGATCTTCTGAATGGTCTGACTTGCTTGATTTTGAATCAGCTTCATGCAGTTGGTGAGTTTTCCTTGAGTTTCCTTCTTGCTGTTGAGGAAGATTGTCCACGTGTATCTTGAATAATCATCAACTACCACCAGGACATATTTCTTTCCACTTAGACTTATTGGTGTAACAGGGCCAAATAAGTCCATGTGAATAAGACTTAATATCCTTGTAGTTGAGGGTGCCAGTTTTGCCTTGAAAGTAGACTTGACTTGCTTTCCTTTCTGGAAAGCATCACAAATGCTTTCCTTCCTGAATACAGCTTTGGGAAGACCTTCTACTAACCCTTCTTTGGACAGCTTGTTGAGAGTTTTGAAGTTGAGATGACTCAACCTCTTATGCCAAAGCCATATAAGGTTAGTGTCACTTTTGCTGATTAGACATGCTTCCTTGACATTGTCCCACATCACTTCATAGATGTTTCTGATTCTCTTCCCAGTGAGAATGACTTCATTTGTGGAGATGTTCTTGAGAGATGCCATGTCCTTGCAGAATTCCAAGGAGTAACCTTTATCACAAAACTGACTTATGCTAAGAAGGTTATAATTGAGACCTTCAACATAAGATACAGCTTGGATGGCTAGTCCCTTGTACACCAGATTTCCTAGCCCTTTAGTCAGGCCAAAATCATTGCTTCCTCCAAAAGTAACTCTTGGACCATCATAGGGAATTAGATTGCTCAAAAGGCTCGCATCACCCGTCATGTGTCTTGAGCAGCGACTCTCTAAGTACCACCTGGGTATTTAGCGGCTTCCTGCATTAGGAGGAGGAAGATTTTGGTACCCAATTAAGTTTGGGTCCAGAGTAGTTAATGGTGTGTGTCCCTACATCAAGTTTGAAGTTGCAGGGAATTTTCCTTGCAGCTCTCAACTTGTTGGGATTGTAATCATAGTTGTAGGCATAAAACTTCCTACGTGCAGGAGGTGCAATTTCCTGTTTCCTCCTAGCAAACCTAGGTTGATAAGACCTATAGTTTTGTCTAGGTTGTGCATAGTGTGACCTGTGACGGTTATAAGCATACTTGGGTGGCACAAATAGTTTCTGGGGTGGAGAATGACTATATCTTGGCATAGTTCTCCACTCAGAATTTCTCGGAAAACTCCTATCTACCCCATAGTGAGTATAGCCTCGTGTATAGTGGGGGTTAGAAGGTTTTCTTCTGAAATTATTTCCTCTTTGAGGCCTTTCTAGCTTCCTATAGTTCTTAGGAGGGACTACCTTTTTGAGAACTTCTGTTGGTTTCTCCTTTTCCTTTCCTTTCTGCTTATTTGGTTTAGCAGTAGGTTTAGGAGGGATGAAAGTTGTTCTCCCTTTCCTTTTGGAACTAGAGGGGTCAAACCCAAGTCCTTCACGACCCTTATGTTTGGTCATTTCGAGAAGCTTATCCACTGCTTCTTTGGACTTAAGTATCCCTAGCTCCTTGTTAAGGGATTTCACCTTTTCAGAGAGAGATTCATTTTCAGTCTTGAGTTGAGTGATCTCATCCAGTTGACTTTTCCGACCTTCAGTCAACTTGAGATTCTCTTCACTCAATAGTTTGTTCTCCTCTGTTAAGGATGATTGTTTGAGATTTATTTCCTCAAAATCTTCCATCATCTTTTTGAACTGGTCAAAAAGATTTTCAGAAGTTGGTATGCTTTCATAAGAAGATGAGCAGGAGGTTTGTGAAGTTACCTCTTGATCAGCATCATCTTTGGCCATTAGGCAGAGAGTGTCATCTTCTGACATAGTCCACCTATCCTCATGGTTGGACTTCTCAACTCTGCGCTCCATGCAGACGAGGGCTTCTTCATCCGATCTTGAGCTGGATGACTCGTCACTTTTAGCAGCAACCATTGCCTTTTTTTCTTCTCGTTCCTCTCTATTTCTCCGTACTTCTCCACCTTTGGGTACGGGCATGCTGACTTCCAGTGGCCAGGCTTCCTGCAGTTATAACACAAATAAGATTCAGGAGGGGAGTCACTTACCTGTGGCTTTTCCTTGGATGGCCTTCTGACTGAGTCAGCCTTCTTAAAGAACTTCTTGAACTTCCGGAATTGCTTGACCATCATGGCAAATTCCTCATCGCAGTTCTCCATTTTTGAGCTTGACGGCTGGCTGGAGGAAGGTGTGTCACAATTCCTTGGGCATGTCCCTCCACTTGATGGGACTCTTGGAGTTGTCATCAGTGTCGTGGGGAAGGGAGTGACTTGTTCTTCCTTTTTCTTCTTCAGCTCATGCTCATAGGTTCTGAGCTCATCAAGGAGACCTTGGACAGTGTAGTTTTCCAAGTTTCTTCCTTCTTCCATGGCTGTGGCTTTGGTGTACCACTCGGTTGGAAGTGATCTCAGTAACCTTACATTCTTTTCCTTGGGAGAAAGAACGTGGTTAAGTGATGCAAGATCATTCAAGATTTTGTGGAATCTTTCGTCCAACATATAAAATGATTCTCCGGGAAGCATTTTGAAGCTTTTGAACTTCTCAAGCAGGACTTCTATCTTCTGCTTTCTCAGGTCCTCTGATCCCTCACATAGCTTACCAAGACCTTGCCAAATCTCCATGGCAGTCTTGAGATGCTTGATCTTGGAGAAGGTGATGGGATCAAGTGTCTTGAAGATGGCTGCTTTGGCGACGTTGTCCAGATTGTGTTTTTGGAATCTCTATCATCCCATTTTTCTTTGGGCTTTGGAATGTACTGGACTACATCAGGAGCTTCTGGATTCCTCTCAGGATTCTCCATTTGGATTTTCAAGGACCCATCCTCAAGCACCATCCACATGCAATCATGTAGAGCGTAGAGATGTGCTTCCATCATGATCTTCCAATCATCATAACCTAGAAGAGAAAACTTGGGCAAACCGTGATCCATATTGTTCACCATTATGATCGCTTCTCGTTAATCTAAACGTAGATAGTGAGAAGTCCGCTCTGATACCAATTGGTGGTCCCAAAGCGGTGAGATACAAAGTCTAAAGGGGGGGGGGTGAATAGACTTTGTATCTCACCACTTTGGGACCACCATTATGTACCTAAAATTAGGGGTCAAGCTACGTACATCCAACCCTCCGCCCAGCCATGAGCGGGAGCCTTTGACCACTGGGGTAATGTTGTTTTTGTTGTATGTAAACTGCAATGAAACAAACAAAGTGGGAGAGAGGAAGTTGTTTGCCACTAGGATTCAAATTCTGGAGAGCAAAATTAAGAATTGATTATACTCAGTATATAAGAAAAATACAGCACCAACTGATTTTAGCTAATTGTAAGAATCTGAATCCTGGAATAAGCAGAAAAATTGAAATCGGATGAGCTTTTATTATGCAAGAATGCAAGTGATAAATCTTTTTGGCTCATAGCATAATCTTTTTCACATTTCATGCAATAAGATTGTGTCGGCCAATGGAGAAAAAATTTTACCGAATCATGTTGAGCCTGAAACTAGACTGCAAAGTAGTATGACAATAGAGATTGTGCAATACAATAGATGAATCTGATCCACAATTAAGCTGGAAAATATTAGAGGGAAGGAATAATATCATCATGACATCTTATGACCCAAACATGGAAATTGATTCATTCTACATAAATTCAACTAGTACCCCAATGACAACGCGCATTCCTGATCATCGCTCACATCTCGAATATCATTTATCCCTTCCAAACTCTGAGAGAAAAAAGTTAGGGAAATTTACAAACAATTGTAACATTCCATAATCATATACAAATAAGTGATTGAGCGAAGTCGAGAAATCTCAGAGATTACTAAGACAATTAGCCGAACATGTTATACCCGGGCCTGGCCCTATCATACCCTCCCCCATGTCCTACACCCTCGCAAAAACCAGAGGACTTAAGTTCAAGCATTATGATCTATTTTAGTGAGAATTCCGAGTCCTTCAACCCAAGAGGCCAGGATAGCTTCGGACCCGAGGGTTCCACAGGCCAACCCCCACTCTGTCCAACCCAACCCAAAATATCCAAAACTCCTTGCCATTTACTTCATTTCAAAATAAAGTTTTTTCCTACTCTTATTTAAGCTTCTGGCCAAAAATAAGGTTGTGTAAAATAAAACCTTTTGTTTGTTGTTATTTTTCTTCTTTTAAGCCTTTTGTTCAACAAATAAAACCCACCCTCTATTCCATTCACCCCTGGCCAAAATACACTTCACAATCCCAACATAAACACCCACAAAGAGCCAAAACCCG